GAATTGTTCGACCTCAGGCAACTTGCAGTTCTAGCCTAAGAAGAAAGTGACCATGCTAACTAGGAATTATGTGAGCTACAGTCCAGAATATCCTGATAGTACCATATTATGGTCCAGGAGGATTCTCTCCTAATGTTTCTAGAGGAGTAGCTGTGCTTGGGTTTTTTGGTGGCAAAAATAACAAAATATCTTATATGATGTACTGGACAAAATAGTTTGTTATGGCACAAGCTTTTGATGGATCACAGTCCACTTCATCTGATGCATGGAGTATAGTTAACAGCAGAAGGTTAAATGTACTCACAGCTGTGGCTGAGGTGAAGGTGAGGGTGAGGGCAGAGAGGAATAATGAAAGGATACAGGATGATACAGAAAAGAGAAATAATATAGAATTAATCATTAATGATGCAAACTTATTGGATTAATGAACTGAATAATTGTAATATAAGAAGAAAACTTGGTCAGTGTTTGATCTGTGAAAATTAGTAATAATTGAATGAATTGTCTTTTGATTGTTTTTTATAGCTCTGGCAGCATCAGTCAACATGGCTGGGGATGGTTAGAAATAATAGGAGCTACATTCACAATATTCAGAGGGACCCCCTATTGGAATTATAGATCATAGAATCATGACACATTCAGAACCCAATTTAATCTGATTTTACGTACTATCGTTGTATTTTCTTTGTTTTATTAAAGCTTGTGTAACATGACTCTGTATTTATACATTAGGTTTTGCTTGACAATCTGTAGCAGTGAGGTCATTATTCCTTCTCTTCAGTAATTTTTGTTCAGTATTCATGTCTTGTAAAGTTCCTGACCATATTTGGGGAAAAGGGTTACTGTATCAGACATACAAATTGCACTTTTTGTTCCCTCTAGAATTGATAGTTGCCTCAGTCTTAAGTACAGATAGTCCTTGACTTATGAGCACAATTGAGCCCAAAATTCCCTTTGCTAAACAAGGCAGTTATTACAAGTGAGTTATGCCTCATTTTACGACCTTTTTGCCATGGTTAAGAGAATTACTACGTCATTAAGTTAATCATGCGGTCATTAAGTGAATCTGTCTTCCCCCATTAACTTTGCTTATCAGAAACTCCTTAGGGCAGGGGTAGGCAACCTTGGCTCTTTTATGACTCGTGGACTTCAGCTCCCAGAATTCCTGAGCCAGCCATGCTGGCTCAGGAATTCTGGAAGTTGAAGTCCACGAGTCATAAAAGAGCCAAGGTTGCCTACCCCTGCCCTAGGAAGACTGCAAATGACAATCTCAGGGCCCCATGACTACTGAAACCATTGTAAATACATGCCAGTTACCAAGCACCCAAAGTTTGGTCATGTGACTTTGGGGATGATGGAACCATCACAAATGTGTGAGGACTGGTCGTAAATCATGAAATGGTCATTAAACAGTGGTTGTAAGTCAAGGACTACCTGTAATTCTAATTTACATATCTGCATTTATAGATGTAACTCGAGAGGCCTTATCCAGAGACTTGTCCTTGCTTTAAAATAAAGAACAGAGTCTTTCATTTTCATTCATTCCAGTAAAAGGGCAATGAACTCTGAGCCCCTTTACCCTGGGGATTATTGGAGGAGTCTGTCTTTCCTTAGAGAGCGGACAATGGGACAGAAGCAAATGTCTGCAAAAAGAAAGAGAAGCGTAGCCAAAATATTAAATCAGAGGTCGTAGATTTTCTCATCTCCTCAGCAGATCTGTTGTTTTTGCAGTACTAGTGACATCCAGCTCTGCCCAAAATGGGAGCTGAGCAAGGGCTGGTCTAGTGCCTAAGGTTAAAATAAATGCGAGTTAGTTCCACTTCATGATCCTGAACTGCCAGCAGGAGCAGGAGATAACAGGCGTTTTCTATTTAAAGCACACTACAGAGGGCAGGTTATAAAAAGGAAATCTGTACTATAGGCAGCAGCAAAGGGAGGGGGAGGCCGAGTTGGCAGAAGTGGAGGAGGGCAGCTGTTACTGTTGCTGCTACTTGGACTTCCCTCCCCCCCCCCCCCCCAGTGCTCTCCTTTGTTGCTGGCAAAGCAAGGGAAAACCTTCCTGGAATCCTTGCATTTATCACACCAGACAAGTATTTTGCAGGTCCCGAATGGATAAAGTGCCTCCTACACTTCACATTAATTAACACGAGAATGCTCTTGCAGAAAGCACAAGTGGTATTCTGGGACGGATTTACGAAAATATTTTATGTAACATTTTTGGTCCATGATTTTTTTTTGTTGTTTTATTTTGTTAAGTAGAAATGTTTCTGATCCCTGTGAGACTTGGAACAACTGCGGAAGGAAAATGCTTGTAAACAGTTCACAGTGCCAAAGCAAGTGGATAACAGACATACTCAGATTTTCTTGGAGGCATATAAATCTTTTACTAAAATTACCCATACCAGCCCTTTATACTTAGGAGAGGCAGCTGGAATAAACGGTCACGGTGTAGGTAGAGGTCATCCACATTTAATCCCCAGAGCTTGAAGGGCCAGGAGAGGCTGATCTTCTTTCCAGATGAGCCTGTTTTGGGCTATTGCTATTTCCCCTGGTGGGTGACATTATGCTCCTTTGAAATAAAAGCCTGAGAGAGGAAACCCCTTCCCAAGTTGCCCAGAAAGAAGGTTAAAATGCTCTGTAAATGACAATGGATCTTATGCTACTCCTGCCACTTGGGTATGTGTGCAAGAGGCCTCTGTGTCTGAACATTTGTGAGTGTAGATGTATGTATGTGCTGTGACCCATGCATAGGAGCTCCACTGCTGCTGAATAATTGTGAGGTCGGCAATGAAACATTAATTATGCTGAATCTTTCTGATTTAGATATTGTGAATACACATATGCACAGATATTTTCACAGAAACTCATGTATAGCAACTATTTAGAACAACACTGAATAGAAACAAAATTAGACTTGAGGCATTTTCAGCAAACAAAACAAAAAAAAAACCACCCCTCCCACTCAAACACCTCATTCCAGTAAAATTGAGTTAGGTTTTCATATAAACATAGCATCTCCAGGGCATGAGAAGTATGGGAAGATTTGCAAACACCATAATCTCTAAGGTCTGATGCTTTATTTAGCAAGTCTGCCTGAATCAAGGGAACTAAAAAAAAACATACCCTACCATCACTATCCAAAGAAAGTAGGCTTTAATCTTATTCTAGGAAGATTTCCCTTCTTCTGTTTGCAAGAAGCTAAAATATCATTTCTTGGCCCTCTTAATCTGCACTTTGATGTGTTTTGGCTGGATTCACGGAACATGCTAAACTTAATATAACAAAGTATAGTTGTTGCATTGGCATGGTATGCTAAGATGGTGCATCCAAATAAGTAGTCCATGTTATGGTTTAATTGGGGCTATCATAACTATTATAACTGAGTTGCAGATAACTTTATGATCACAAAATGCCAGTAAAGGCACATATAGGCTGGATTTCTGTAATATGCTAAATCATAAATTGCCCAATCTTAGTTTAGTCTAATTCAGAAAGGTTTTTTTTATCTAGTCTCCAGAAGCTCAGGGCAGTCCATACATAATACTATATTTATTGTCCAATTCCCCTTCCCGAACAACATTGTGCAGTAGTTGGACTGGCCCAAAATCTCCAGCATGTTTCTGTGACTGACACCAGCCTCTGCATAACAATTGAATGAAATAGATGGATCACTAATGTTTCCTATGTGAATGAAATGTGAAATATGCAAAGTCTCTGCTTTTCAGCTTATTCTTTGCTTTGCTTCACTTTCTACTTGTTGCGGTTTTCCATTCTCCCCAAAGCTGTTTTTTTCATCTTCCTCCATTTAGCCTTTTAAACAGACCTTTCCATTGACCCGTAGTCTGGTAGAGCATGGAGCTGGGAACTAATAAACAACTTTATGGTGTCCCAGGCCTGGCTTGTGTTGGCCTTAATAGAGGCCAAGTCTGGGAATTGGATCCTGAGTCAGAAAATTGAGCCCTGTCCCCCATTTCTCTCTAGACATAGCAAGAGTGTGAATCTCTTTACTATCTCTTCTGATACCATTTTCATAAAACACCAGTTTATGTGGCAGGGGACAGAGGGAGGACATGCACTGTTTTATATATAGGAAATTAAATTAATGTTGGGAGGGTTAGACAGGCTGCTGTGTTCTCTCTCTGTCTATGTGTGTGTGTGTCTCTTTGTGTGTGTTTTTGTCTGAGAGAGAGAGAATGAAGGGGGAGGAAGGTAGAAGTTCCATTGTTTTCTGTTATCTAGCAGCAATTGGTAAAAGAATGTTCTTCTCAAAACTCTTATCCTCCGTTTCCTTTTAAAGAACCAAATTTCTATGACTTAAGATTACAGTAATAATATTGAGAAATGCCATTCAACTGATTTAATTTAGCACAGTAGGCAGTAACCGTTTCTAATGAAACTGGTGGTAAAGTTTTTCAATAAACCTGTATATATCCTTCAGCTACTGCTATTTCTTTTCTCCAGTGTTATTAAAAATCATTCTCTAAATATGACTGACAATAATATATTACATTGAAATGGGACAAGGAGAATGAGGGTCTTGACTTCAGCTGCAGTTAGTATATTATGCTTCATTGCAATTTGATATCTCCTTAAACTTTTAATTACTTAGGTAACAGAAAATAAATATTTTTGCCAATCATCTAAGTCATAAACAAAATTAATACCATAGTTCCAAACAACTGTCTTAGATACAGTTTAAAAGTAACTGGGAATCAGACAGCACACTAGACTGAGAAAAAAAATGGGGTTGGGTCATTTGTTAATATGTTGTATGATCCAGGCCACCACATTAAGGTAAAGTATAGATTATTTTTTTAAGGCATAGTTTTTTGTTCTGTGAACCCAGCTTCACAGAACATAAGACTTAGCCCAGATTTGCAGAAATTCATATTTTTATGCATTTCATAAAAATAGCCAAAACACAAAGCTCAAAGTAATCTTAACCGTCCTTAGTGCCTGTTCTCAGTTTATATATATTTTTCTTTCTTTAAGATCATCTGCAAAGGCGCTACTGTGACCATCATGGCTATAGTGCAGACCTTGCCTGTCTCCATTGAATCTGCCACTGAAGGGGCTTCCCAACTCTGTGCTAGTGCCAACTCATCCCCTGCTAACATGGGGAGTGTCAGTAGCCTTATTTCAGGCCGGCCTTGCCATAAGGCCACCTCTGAGTTTGGTGCTTTCCCCCTGCGTGGAAATGCTGGCTCCCAAGAGCTTCTGTGTCATGGACTCCCTACGAAGAAGAGCACCTATGCTTACGGCAATGAAGAAGACTGGGCTGAAGCTGTCTCCCCCATCAGCCCTTGTAGTGATGCAGAAGATCTTCAGGATGACAAGCCACGGAGTGGCATCGTCCGTGGACCACCTCCCAAGTTGGTTCCTGTTTCAGGGAAACTTGAGAAGGTAAGAAGAGACAATATTTTGGCAGGACCATTAGATCTTTCCATCTAGAGCAGGGGTAGGCAACCTTGGCTCTTTTATGACTCATGGACTTCAACTCCCAGAATTCCTGAGCCAGCCATGCTGAGGGGAACGGGAAAGGTTTCCATGCTGAGCTATGCTGGCTCAGGAATTCTGGGAGTTGAAGTCCACGAGTCATAAAAGAGCCAAGGTTGCCTACCCCTGATCTAGAGCAAAGATAGGCTATCTATTTGTGACTAGGCTCTGAGAACTTATGTTTCGTTTGATTTTTTATTTTTCCTGGTAGCCAAGGGGGATGATTTTACCTTAGAGCTAAACCTAGAATTTGGGGCCCTTTAATCATTTTTGAGGTTTAGTTCTTCCCACACAAATGAAATGGATAGGCTCAGTTTTTGGGAGACATATTTATTTCACTTGATTTTTATAAAATAATGGAGGAAAACTATGCCATTCTTATTCAATACTAGCTGTACCCGGCCACGCGTTGCTGTGGCTCAGTCTGGTTAAATGGAAAAGAAAGAAAAGAGAAAGCTCACATTTGTAATATGTTTAATTTCACAATGCTTGTGGGTATACAATATTTTTTGTTGTTCCATTGTCTGTGCAGATATAGAGATTGTCTGGTTTTGGCGCTGTTTTTCAAAAAAAGCATGTTTTTACCTGTCACAGGTGTGACATCTATATAATAGTAGGTATATAAAAACATGCGCGTATTCGAATGCAACGTTGTGTCAAAATTTCAAAGCAATCGGTGAAGAACTTTCGGAGATTTAAGATTTTGAACAAATGAACATTTACATTTTTATTTATATATAGAAGATGTGTGCTAAGAATCTTTTTGGCACAATCCTGAATGTTTTGGGGGACTGCAAAAAAAAAAAAAAAGTGGGCCTGCCAAACTTTCCCTACACTTTAATCTTGTAGTGAAAGCAAGTGGTTCACCTTTTGAGAAAACATATAATATCAATGAGGGTTCCCCCCCCTACTTCCCTAGAACAGAGGAGTAAGGAAGATCCGCCATCCAGTCTACACTGATTAAATAATGTTGTGATCTACACTGATTAAATAATGTTGTGATCTACACTGATTAAATAATGTTGTGAGTTGTTTCTATCTCTGTTGGCTGTAAGTGGCCAATTGTGATAGCCTTCGTAGGCTGGGAACTGTTTCTAGCTGGATAAAGAAGACCGACACACTATCTGAAACGAACCTCAGCTAACCTTGTGTGAGGATAAAGAGGAGCCATCTTTTTCTTTGTGAAATGTGCTATTTCTGTTTGAGGCTTACTGAAAGCATATTAATGGGAGAGGGTTTTAGTTAATATGTCCTTCCTTCATTGAGTTCTGCTTTCTGCTGTTTCTCAGAATATGGAGAAGACACTAATTCGCCCCACAGCCTTCAAACCAGTTATGCCCAAGAACCGCAACCTGCCATTGCAGAGCCACTTGGTTCTGCGTCCTGGGACTTCGGTGATCTCTGAGAGCCAATCCAGCCTAGCTCAGCTCTTTGGTGCCAATGCTGTAAGCACTGCAGAGAAGCTCAGTTCTTTGAGCTGCCATACCAGCTCCCACTCTGGGACAATGTCAGACTCCGGGCGTAATTCCCTCTCCAGCCTTCCCACATACAGCACTGGGGGCAGCCAGCAAATAGAGCCAGTCAGTATCTCCATAGGCCATAATAACCTTGACAGCCACGGCAGCGGCAGTTCACGCGGTCTTACTGGCCCATCAAATTCAGACAGTGGGCGGTCATCCTCAAGCAAGAGCACGGGCTCCCTGAGTGGCCGCGGGCATCCTTCCTCTGACAGCGGCTCCTGTGGGGGGCGTTCCCCTATGCACAGTGGCGCGGATGAAGCCCTTCTTGTCCATGAACTTGAAGAGAAGCTGAGGGAGCGTGAAGCCGAGCTGCAGCATTTAAGAGAGAGTCTGGATGAGAATGAGGTGGCCATTTGCCAGGTAAGCTGAGGGTGGGAGTGAGGGTATCTTATTGCTCTTTCTAATATACCGGGTGGGAGGGAATGTTTGTTTTCTAAAGACTGCTTCTGCAGGAATGCTGCCTTTATCAGTGACTGATAGGCAACTTCCATGTAGCAGCTGGTATAGGGCTGGAACTGGTTGGATTATATTCAATAACTTGCAGGAAATCTGAGTTTCCTTGAGGGCCAGATAGGCCAAGCGCCAGATTTGTTTTTCCCTTATTTTTGGCAGCTTTGATGGAAAAAAAGGGTGGATGTTTACAGCACTGAGTGGAATACTGCTGTAAAACAATTTGTCCTCTGTAAGGATTAATTAGCAATATCATTTAATTTTCATTATTGTGAAAATTATTAGCTGCTTCAACTTTTATCCCTTTGATCTTTCCTTTATATAAGTAATTCCTGGAATCTATCTTATAATTTTATTATCATTTATGATATAGGTGGTTAATTTTGGAGTATTTCTGCTGAGATCTAATGTGACCTAAGAATGGTTGCATGTACCTACATCCAAAATCTTCTTGCCAATAAACCTGTTGTTAAGAAGACCGCTATTGGGCATTTAAAAAGTTACCTAGTCTAAAATCTTGTATTTCAGTGTGGTCAGCTAGATGTCAGTGTTTATAGCTTTGTTATGTGCTGAAAATCTTAGTAGGCAAAGACATGCTGTTTCTGATCTTGGAGATGGCATATTACTATCTGACTAATAGTGAAGTGCTTCATGAATTTGTCTAATTCCCTTTTAAAGCCATCTTAAGTTGGTAGCTCTCATCACTTCATTTTGTAATAAAATTCAGTTTAACTAGGTGCTATGAAAATAAACATTGGTTCCTGAATCCTCTGTTGTTCAGTTTCACTGGTTAATCTCAGAGAGTAGTGTTAGAAAAGATGTAAAACCATTTTTCCTTTCCAATTTCTTCACCATACAGAACTGTATATATTTCTATCCTTCTTGCTTTTATTTTTAAAATGGTCAAATAGATCTCAGTGTTGTTTGCTTCACCCTCTGGATCATGGTTGGTTTGTTTTTGTTTTTGCACTATTTTCATCTCTGTTTTGATCTCTTTCTGAAACTTTGTTCTCTTTCTGTCTCGAAACAACAACTGTGGCACTCTTAGATGTATAATTCTGTCTTCCTTTAATATTTATAGTCCAGGGTCTTCCTTAACAGGCTGCCCACAACTTACTGTCTTCCTTAGAACTTAAAAGAGCTACAGTTCTGCAAAGAAGTAACATTGACCTCCTTGTTTGAGGCAAATTTTGGGAAGGAGGACCACAGTTACAGAAAGCCCAGGATCCAAAGGGACTATTCTGTGATGAACTGAAGAATCCAAGGACTTGGTTATATGTCAATGTTAGTTTCTAACATTGGTTTCCCCCATCTTCCTTCCAGGTATATGAGGAAAAGCAGAGGCGCTGTGAAGAGGAGATGGAAGAGCTCCGGCAGGGCTTTAGTGCTAAGCTGCAGCAATCAGCCCAAAAGGCTCAGCGTAGTCAGCAGGTGTTGCAACTACAGATTTACCAGCTGCAGCAGGAGAAGAAGAAACTCCAGGAGGATTTTGTGCAGCTGCTGGCAGAGCGTGAGCTGCTGGAGCAACGCTGTGCCAACTTTGAGCGGGAACACACCGAGCTGGGCCCCCGGTTGGAAGAGACCAAGTGGGAGGTAAGTGGGAGGGGATGCTCTTCCATAGTTCTTGAAAGCCGTGGAACTGAACGAGGCATCAGCATTAGGAATGGGGATTCTCATTCTCCCTCCAGCTAGACAAGGACAGTTTGGAGAGATCAAGCTTACTTTTCCGGTTGTACCATAGAATTATACTGCACCACTTTTTTAAATGTTTTTCCAAATCGGTCACACTAGCGCTCCCATCGACTTTCTCACTCTCTAACACACAGTTCACACATTATATTAAGTCATAAAATATGATTCTGTTTTGTATAGATTTTTATCTCTAGTTTATAGTTCAGTGTATTATATAGATTCGACCAACTGTATTTTACTTAGTTAATTGTGATTAAATGAGCAGTGTGGTGGTCTAGTGGTGGTGATGCGCACCTCCCTCTCAGAAGGTTGAGAGTTCAATCCTAGGTAGAGGCAGATGTTTCTCTCCTAGAACACAAAGACAAAAAATATCTGCTCCATGTAGATGTCAGGAAGGGCATCCTGCCAGTAAACACTCAAGCTCTATCCTGACTCTACCACGAGTTAAGGGACTAAAGAATTGTAAAAAATAATAATAATAATTAAATAAAGCAAGGGTTAATATGATCCCAGATAAACAAACACTCACTTTTTAATAGTATTCTGGTAATGGTATTGGAAATAATGTGGGGAAGGACAGCAGAACAGGGGAAATAATGAGAGAAGAAATTTTCTGTTACCCTGAAATACTTTCTGTTTGCTGATCTACGGAGAAGTACAGGAGAATGTTCACATTGACATTATTGGGTTGTTTGAAGTCTTTTCAATCTCATTCTCTGCTGACCTGAAGGCAACTTTGAGTTGTCCATTTTTGTTCCTGAATTGAAAGACAAACAGGTACTCTCATCATTCACATCACAGAATCAGATCTTAGCTCTGCTGAACTTGAAATGGAACATTGTGGCATGTTCCCTGTCATCTTATATCTCTTTTCCTTCCCACCAGGTTTGCCAGAAGTCAGGTGAGATCTCATTGCTGAAGCAACAGCTGAAGGAGTCTCAGGCAGAGGTCGTGCAGAGGGGTAATGAGCTCGTGTTACTAAGGGCCCAGCTGAGAGAAGCACGGGCTGATCTGCAGACGAGCGAAGAACAGGCCTTGAGTTTGCAGGAGATGGCCCGTACCAAGGCAATGGAGTTAGAAGTGTGTGCCAATGAGTTGGCCAGGCGCAAGAGTGAAGCAGAGCTGCTGCGTGAGAAGGTAGGGCGGTTGGAGCGCGAATTAGATACTTTGCGCAGCACTAGTGGAGAACTCTGTCCCCTGATGGCTGAATGCGATGAGGTAAAAGCTCAGCGACAAGCAGCGGATACCCTGCAGGGTTTGCGTGCACAAGCTGAACGGCTACGCACAGAGCTATTGTGTGAGCGACGCCGTGGGGAGGAGCAACGGGAGGTTTTCCAGGCTGAGCGTATCACTTGGCAAAGTGAGAAGGACAGGGTCATCCGCTACCAGAAGCAACTGCAGCATAATTACATCCAGATGTATCGGCACAATCGTGATTTAGAGTGCCAACTGCGCCATCTCAGTCTTGAACTTGAGGCCCGGGACATGGATGAATATGAGCTGCATGGAAGTGAAGGCATCTGCTTGGAGGAGATTGCAGCTACTGAGATCTGAACATGCCTGTGGAAGCCGTACTGAATGGGTCACACTGCCACAAAAGGATACTGGTCAGGCTGGAGCATTTTTCCCTGGGATTTTGTCTGACTGAGCAACTGGGAATGCAGTGAGCCTCAGTTCAGTAGTGGAAAGAGCTACCTTTCCAGTCATAAATCCCAGTGATAGGACTTGTTCTGTCACTTAAACTTGGTCATGAACTCTCAGTAAGTCAACAGTTTAATGGCTATTAAAAGTAGAATAGTGTGTGAAACTAGGCAGCTGGCCTTAACTCTAGGAGGTACAGGAAGACCTGGTTAAAGATTTCCTGGTCAACCTAGAAGGAAAGTTCAAATCCTTCCTTTGAAAGCAGCAGCAGCCTTTGTTCCAGCATTTCACTGGAAATGAAGCAGGAATAGCCTTTGCTTTTGCAAGAGGCTGTTAAGTGGTGCTGCCTTTCAAGTCCCAATGTTAATTAGCTTTCCGTAAGACCTTGGGAGTCACCACTTGCCTCTTGCTCTTTGGGTTAGTTGGAGATGAGACTAGCATGGATGGGACTGCCAGGATTGTGTAGAGCACTTTTGCTTCTACTCTGCTCTTCTGTTACCTTTATGTAATGACCCAATGGACTGTCAGTCACCACTTGCTGAATTTTGGGAGATTTGGCTGTTCAACAGCTAATTAGCTGCTAATCCAGTTAGATGCAGGTTTTAGACTGGCTGAGGAAGCTTTGTCTATACAAGGCTCTTCTTGGATTTTTAGCCCACTTCTCTGCTGTATGTGAAGTATATCTTTTCTGAAATCCAAACACGTAAATGCATACAACCGAAACCTGTACTATGGACCCTGTTACTATGCATATGAAATACATTTGCATTTATTTCCTCTTTTGCACATGCTTCCTGTAGTTATGAAGGACAAGGACCTTTGTAGGCAATTCTTTGGCCAATAGATGATGTGGGCCAAAGAATTAGGGATCTGGGCATTAGTCCAAACTTATTTCTTTTTATAGGACAAAAATATTAATAAATTATACTAGGTTCAAAGCTGATTCTCAGTATTCCAAATTCTGTTATTTTTAAAAGCCAAAAAAAAAATATTACGGAATACTTGCAATCCTTTGGCTTCTCCCACTTAAAGCTTTGTAGGAAGACCCTATGCCAAGTGTTTTTTAAGGGAAAGCATATTGACTTCAATACTGTGGAAACAGACCTAGTCTCTCTCTCTCTCACCTAATCCCCCTCCCCCCAAACATATTGCTGCATCCATATTATAGACTTACCTGAGAGTAAGGCTGTTCAACTCAGTGGGACTTGCTTCTCGGTAGGCATATATAGGAGTGTATTATAAAAGCCAAAGATTCTTAAAACAGACTCAGGATCTATTTGGTTATCCCAGGAGCCTATCTCTAGATTACAGCACCAAAATTTGGCAGATAAAATGTTGGAATTCAGAGGCACTAGATTTTGTGCACTTATTTTAATTTCTTTGTTTTTTTAAAAAAATCCAGAATATCTGTTCCTCTCAACCCCTCATCCCAGCTCTATACCAAATATTTTGGCTCCACTGCCATTGCTACCCTCCTCCCCCTTCTTGAAGGGTGAGTTTAAAAAAAAAACACAGCCTAAGCATAGCATACCTATTTGCTATGATGGGATCTGGATGACTTTCCACTTTCTCTTACTTACCTTTCTGTCTTTGGTTGGAACGCTACTCAGAGTGTCTTTGTCATGACCTTGCTTGCCTGGGTATGTCTCTCTCACCACTCACCTTCATCCGGCCTCTACCTGTTTGCCCAACAACATCCACGTCCTGTTCGTTTCAGGGTCAAAGATGGCTGAGTTTAAATCTCCTGCATTTCCCTGATAATAGCCTTGTACAGTATCCTCTATAGTTCCAGAAGCTCAGTTTCCCAGGCATCCATATTCCCTTCCCATGATTTTTGCGAGATCTGGTCTAGTCTGAACCATGATCGTTGTGAAGTCCTACAAATGTTTGCAGGGCAATGTGTCCTGTTAAGGTACAATAACTACTTGTCTACTTTTGTAATATGCTCAAGACTAATTGCATACTAGAATATGGTTCCTAGTCTGTGCAGCTTCCTCTCTTTTAAAGCTGTCCATGCATCTATACTTGAACCAAGTTTATTGATTGCATTTGGATACAATAACTTCAGTAGGTACTCAGTCCAGACCTACTGCTGATTTCCTACCCTCGCAGGCCAGTGACAACTGCAAGGAGCTCCTTTCAAAGAAAAAAAGTTCTGTTTGCAGAGGGTAACATGGACTCATCTGGACTTCTATAAAAAAAAGATGTGGGGGGCTATAAATTGTTAACTGACCTCCTCTCTTTGTCTTCCAGTGTATGCTCAGGATAAAAATGGTCAGTGAAAACAGGGTAAGTCAGAATTATGGACTGCAGAAAAGCCATTCCCAAAGGAACTGGGCTGACAAAATAGCCAGTTAACTACAAACTGAAGTGCTCTCTTTGCTGGAGAGATGCGAGTTCTTTTTTTTCAGGCTAAGTAAACAAACTTCCTTGAGGTTACAAGAGGCTGAAGAGATTTGGATCAGTGGGGTTGAATAAAGGAGCCTCAGAGCAGGTTTTATATTTTGGGAATCAAACCAGATAGTGCAAGGCATGCTCACTATGTCAGCTTGGTTAAATTTTGTTAGCCTTTTTCCTCTGGCTATAAAAAAGGCAACTGCCCAGAATTGGTGCTTTGGCTGGAAGCAGCCAAAGTACAGCATACCAATTATTTAGGCCAATCTGGGAAGAACTGCCATATTGCTAGAATAGAGAGAACCTGCTTTCTGCTACCTTAGTGTAACTTTTGCTTCAAGTCCTCTTGTTCTTCTTCACACAAAAAATGAACAGACAAACATTTGTGAAGGGTGTAGCCCAGCTAGAGTTTGGGACTATTTGCAAGAGGATGGCATTTAGCTACACTCTGGAAATTCTGTGCATTCCAAGAGAAGAGGCAATCTTGGTTCACTTCTAGACAGTGTTCCCTTTTGCCCATTGTTATGAGAGGAACTTGCAAAATGGGTGTGTTGAGACAAATAACATTAGACCAAAGGAAAAGCTTGGTGCATGTTACTTCTGTAATTATTAGCAACCTATACCTCTTGCTTAACCCACTTTAAGCACCACTGTATATTTTTCTTTTACTTTATTTCTGAAATTGTATATTTTCCAGGTGGTGTAAATTTCTTGTACAAACCAAAAGAAAAGTGTGAAATAAAAAAAAAAAACTAAGAAAATGTCTTTTTTCTTTTGAGAAAAGTCACATGTAAATTTGATGGCTGGGGCAATGAAATGTGGAAGAATGAGCAGAGGGTGGAATTATTCTAATGGTGGACAAAGGCAGAGATGAAAATTTATCTGATATCTAGCACAGAGTACGCTTAGTAATTTCTCATTCCTGCTCTTGTTCCTGGGTCTAAAAACAAAAACTGGGTCTAAATGAACTTCTACCACTATTGCATTTTTTCTTCCACTCTGGCTGGTGGCGGCACTTTGTAAACAGCTGACAATTGTTCCATATGAGAAATATTGATCTGGAAATCAGCCAGTGTTGATCCACAATAGTTACTTCAGCTCAGGAGTGAGATAATGATAACAATATTCTTTAGTTAATCTTCTTAATTAGGTGATCTTGAAGACACTGTTGGATCTGGCTTTTAGAGAAGACCATAAAAGCAGTAATTTGATTTTTTTTCAATCTATGTACCTTGGTGACTTGCACCACTGCAATCACTGAGAGTAACTTTGAGGCCGGATACAAAACAATGACTATCTCTTTGTTGGGTGTTCTTTTTGGGATCACTGCCAGTTTGCTATTCACTCAATAATGGATTTAAGGAGATTCAAGTGAGAATATTATATCCAGAGTCTTGAATTTACAATCTGAGATACTGGATTATTGTCTTTCAAACTTTATGGTTCACTTACATATGCATGAGTCTAGGTAAATTTATTAAATTTAATGCTATGGTGCATTACTGAACATGAGTTAACAAATATCCCTTTGACCAAATATTGACCTTTCTTTGTAGTCTTTTCCTTCTGGCTCCAGTTAGCTGGAGATGGCCTTATCATCTAGGAGTGTCAACTGGGGTGGATCGGAATGTCAAAAACAATATTTCCTCCATAGAGATGCCAGCTCATTTCAAAACAATTGCTCTTGGTGACAGCTGTCCACTTGCAGCTAACTGTAGTTTTGGAAACAATACTTGTTGCTTGAATTGGGCAATGTGATCTCTTGCCTGCTTCTGTTCCAACCAGGCTTCTCTAGAACTGGGAAACTATTACTTGCTCCATTAAGCCTGAAAGCTTTACTGATTGGCAGATATTTTAGTAACTGCTACCAATTTGTATCCCGAGTGCCATATTTTTCTGAACAATAAGCAGGTATAGTTAAACAGATTCTTCATTAACACTGGCATTGCAGCACTCTCTGATTTCTGAACTGACCACATTCTTCAGGGTAAACTGCTTGATTTGCAATATTTATTTGATTTTCTTCGGCACCTTCACCACAATCTTCATGGGCTCCTTAGCTTTGTTGCGGTAGGCTTGGCGGATTATGTCCACAGCTCGCTGGTGTGTTACATTCTGTAGACTCTCTCCCTCTACTGCAACCAGTTCATAGCCAGCCTAGCAAAAACAAAGAAAAGAAGCATGGGACAAAAATGAAAAACAGTAAAAGCATAGCAAATTACAATTCTACCCTTTTCAGATTTGATGTGTCATTGTTGGTTACAGATAGTCCTCGACTTATAACCATTTGTTTAGTGATCATTTGAAGTTACAGCAGCACTGAAAAAAAAGTGACTTGTGACCAGTTTTCACACTTATGAACATCATAGCACTCCCATGGTCATGTGATCAAAATTTAGGCGCACGGCAGCTGACATGTATATATGACAGTTGCATTATCCTGGGGTCAAGTGATTGCCATTTGTAACCTTCCCAGTTGACTTCTGACAAAGTCAATGGGAGAAGTCAGATTTACTTAATGACCACATGATTCACTTAACAACTGCAGTGATTCATTTAACAATTATGGCAAAAAAAAATTCACTCGCCTGCCTTGCTTAACAATCAAAATTTTGGACTCGATTGTGGTCATAAGCCTGTATATATTAGACATGGGAATTTTGAAGCACTAATATTAGTGAATAGTTCAATTAGTACTGATAGTATTTCTGAAGCCTAATCTGAACCCTTCCAACATTTAAATGGTATAGCAATGGGTCGAGCAGGCTCTTAAATTAGTTCAAGATAAATTGGCATCTCCAGGTCACCAAAAAAGATCCCAAATTGGATCTTCTAACCTGTGCTCAACTCCTAATCTATACCTTCACTTCAATCCTGAGTAAATAAGTAGGAAATTAAAGGTTTTCTTAGTCCTAATTTCCACAAGCTCCTTTATACTTATATTGTTTCCGGAACAAGCAGAAGAGACAACAGGATTAAGGATTCTTGGAAATTGGCAAAGTCCTGTTAGGTATAGGCCTTCACCAACTCAAACCTTGATATTTCCATTCAGCGGCAAGTCTGATCAGCCTTTACAATCTAGAGCAAGAAGAAAGCTGCAAGAAGTGCCTTCAGCCTCTTTCTGTACTCCTGAGAACAGCTCGCAGATGCTAGAGGCTTGAAAAAAGTGTGCCAAGGCTTGAAACTGGGTTCAGAAATAGGCTGGATACCTGTAAAGCCACTAAAACACTAGCATTACATGACCATATTGGCCAGTTCCAGTTTAATAGGTTAGAAACTCTAGATTCTAGTGAAGTTTAAGAACTGCAAAGGAGTTTCACCTGTGTTTTTACCAGTCACTCCCATTCCCATTTGCCCTAGCATCCTAAAGCCATTTGGGTCTTTAATCCAAATCAGCATAAACGAGACCTATAACCCCTAAAGGAAAGAGGCCCCAAAGAGGAAAATCTAATTAGAGCAGCCTGGTGGGCGGGCAGGCTGGCAAAAGTCCACAATGGTTCTTTGTCAACCCCCAGCTTCATTAAAGAGGCCTTGGGAAATGTTGCGCAGTGCCTTGAACTATGAGGGACCCTGAATGGCACAATGGGGTGTGTATGTTGCTAGGCCTTAGCTACAAAGCACAATGAAGTTTGTTTCGTGTAGGGTAGGAATCAGTTTAAATGAACAAAATGGCCAGGCTGTGGTATGAAAAAAACAGCAAAGTCTTCAATGCGGTGAGTAGAAGGAGGGAAGATGATCAATTGTCCTCTTTAGTCCTTCAAATCTGAATCTGATTCTGCATAAAGTTTTGTTCACATTGTGATCAATTCATTTTTATCCTCATTCTGCAGGTCTGGGACAGTCTGGAATAGTCCATATTTGTTGTGATTACAGTATGGAAATCATCCCAGACCGAATAATCCAAAATAAAAATGGCAAGTTGTAGAGTCATTCTAAACTCTGTCTACTAAGTTGATACCTCTTTCTTTTATATTTTATTTCTTTAGCTTGGTTACATTTAAATGTACCTCATATTACAAGAGAAAGGTAGGCTGATTTTTTTTAAAAAAAAACAAGTAGATTCAGGGTATGGTTATGAAACTGCCCTCTTGATATAATGATAGAATTGCTACATTTGCAAGATTAATTTTATTAACTGAGAACTTGATTGTATAACTAAAACTATTTTTTCTTCTCCCAGAAAAATCAGTCAATTCTACTTATGCAACGTGCATTTTTCATTAAAGTTGTATATCAATACACCAATAGATTACTCACCATTTTAGTTACAGAAATGGAATACAGTAAAGACAGTGTTCAATGGTAAGAACATAACTACTAATTATTTCATAATTTCATACATGGGTTGATGTTGTGAAGAAGCCCCCATGAACATGGTGGGTCTTATTTTTGAATAAATATATGTAGGATTGGGCGAGATGAGCATGCATAGTGCCAGAGAAGAAGGAGAGGCAAAGAATATAGTCCGGTCAAGACAGCAAAGTGATGTTCCCTGTTCCAATATTTATTTTCCTGAGTGATTTTGCATCAGTTACATCTATAATCTTGCTATAATGGGACAAGAAGAGTAGGGCTGCTGCTCTCCTGCTGGATGTGTGAAGAAATGTAGTTTTCAGTAGAGTTTCTGAAGCAATTAATTTATGCAGTTTAATTGATAAAAAATTCTTTTGAAAGAAAATGATCTATGCAACACTTGGAGAAACTAAAGTCTGTTACTACAAGTTCACAAGCAGGTGATTAAAAATATAATTACTGAAACCTGTGCAAGACTTATACTTGAGTGATGGCTCACTCATTATGTAATATGGATGGCTGTAGCAATGGAATAAGTTGATCATGGTGTTAGAACATATCATTAAGCTGCTAAAGGAAGAAACAAGGAGTATCTGGACCTCCTATTTGTCCAGCTAGTAGTAGTGACAAATCCACATTTTCCCTTCCCTACTGCTTCAGCTACCTCCAGTTCTCCACTCAGAGATGCTGCTCCCCCAGGAAATATCTTCTCAATCTTCACCATTGGCTGCAATTTGGATTCTATTCCTCCTGAAATGCTGATGCCTGGAAAACAAACAGTGCTGTGAGTATTTAGAAAGTGGTGGCATGTTTGAGCTTCTGTAAATCCATCTCAAAGATAGAATTACACCAATCTTAAAAGTAAGCATCCTGCACATTAAACTTGGCTACTGATGACTTCACCAACAAGCCTGCATAATTTTTTTTTTTTTGCACAATATAGAAATAGTTTGTCATTGTCTTCTTCCAGGATGTTTTTTTAACCTCATATTCTGAACTGGGATTTCCTGTTAGTCTCTCACACAAGAACTACGCAAATCAGACTTTGTTTCCTTATGAGAGAGCTGTCAAGGCCAGAGAGATGTGTAGTTTAAAGGATTCTGTACTAATCAGCAAATGGCAATATTATTTCTTCCAACCATTTGACAAGAGCAATCTAATTGGCACCAACACCAAACTTTTCCATAACTTTTTTTTTCTAGTAAACTATCCTTACTTTTACTATATTTTATATACACTTTCACACTCTCTTCTTCACGATCTTATAAACTTTCTCAGTCTTCTGCTTGCTCTCATCTTGCTCACTCTTTTTTCCCAAATCAATCCTCATTCATTCTCTTTATAAGACCCACTCAAAAGTTCTTTTGTACTGGAGTCTCACTTTTGTATTCAGTCCACAATCATTTAGTACCCATTCATTTTTGGCCCTATCTCTTTTTGTTTATCACATTTCTTCAGTAACCCTTACCCACTTTTGTTTTTTTCTGACATACTCAACTCTTATTTCTGCAAGTGAGCCCAAGCACCTTTACACATAGCATCATCATACTTTATTTACTTGTTTTAGTTTTTCACCTTTGTGTATAGCTTGCAATTGTTCTTTTGGGACTAGCTGGTCTGTGATTCATTAATTTTCAGTTCTATAGTACTCATTGCTTCATACAGTCTAACATTTGCTGCAAATCTTTTGGATTATCAACCCACACAACATCATGTCTGCACAGAAAGGTACACATTTACTTTATTTTATTTCTATCATCATGCATTCACCACAGTTAGCAATCATTGTTCAATTCCATTCCTTCCTTCCCTTCCATAATTTAAGACATTATCAAAATGTTCCTCTTATTATGCAACAAACTTTATCTCATACATATATTTTCCAGTCATCGGCTGAAGACCATAAGTCTGATCTGCACATCCCCTGCCTGACATGAAAGCACATTTCTAAATTTTGTTTGTTGTCACCTTTCAAATTCTTTTGAGTAGAATTCTACCAAACTTCTCCCAAGACATACTTTAAAAAATAATCCTGCTATAATTTTTACATTCATTTTTTTTAACCCTGTGCTTTCTATAAGAGAACAACAACAGCATTTCTCTGACTTGGATGCAAGCTTCAAATATATATATAAAAAACCACACAGCCTTTCTATATAACGAGGCCCCATCCATATTTTGACATTACTCGTACTAACATCTGTAGCCTTAACAATTTTTAAACATTCTTTCCATATTTATTACTTCTTGTCATTTTTTTAGAGACCAATCTTTATAATATTTATTTCAATTGCATTCTTCAGCATATCACAATCTCATACTCTAAAATAATTCACAATCTCCAAAATGATTCTTCTAGCATTTCCATACCTACTTCCCAATCATTTTATCACTTTTATTCTTAATTCCATTCACTCATTTTCACCCAATTCTGAAAATTTTTGAAAATTTCAGTCAAAGTAGCTTTACATGTTCTCTGTGTCAGGGATCTCTGACCTTTCTGGCTTTGCGGACTAGCGGGGGGGGAGAGGGGACGGTTCCGCACAAGCAGCGGATGTGCATGCTCGTGCGTGCAACTCCATTTACACAAGTGGCTGCACATGCCTGCCATTCCCATAAATGGAGCTTCGTGCTTGAGCGCCTGCTGGTTGCACAAATAGAGCTTCCCGCATGAGCGTGAGCACCTGCCACTTGTACAAATGGAGCTGCGCACGCTTGCGGGCTCACTCGCCGCTTGCACAGCCCAATTCAAAACTGGTCACAAACTGGAGGTTGGAGACCCCTGCTCTATTTTATTTAGTTTTAAGCATTACTTGCTCTCTTTGATTACATTTTTACTATCTTTTTCTCTCTGTAAGCATTGCACAGTATCCTCTGTTTTTCTTCATTTTTCAAGAATTCATTCTTTTACATGCATTTCTTTTCCCATTACAGCTTTCACATCATAATTCCAACAAGAAAACATTTTCCTCTGCATACTACTAAAAATCTAATTGTGTTTATCTATTTGTCTGTTTGCACCCTTATATTAGCCCGAAGGGTGCATTATACCACAACCATTTTTGAATCAAGGTATCTAAAATCCACTAATTTAAAGAACATGTAAAAACTATAGGACCCATTACTCTTGTGGAACTGAAATTTCCACAAGGTTCAGAACAGTTTTATTTGCAAAACTGTGGCTGTTGCAATGTCCCTACAGTCGTGTGAATATGATTTCCAACACTGCCTGCCATCTTCCCAAAAGCAAAATCAATGGGGAAACCAGCAGGAAGTCAGATTTGTTCCCAATCCCACTGTTCCCCACCCCCCGTGGTTATTCTGTTTATCTAATTAGGTAAGTAAATACTGATTTATTATTGAAGTTCATTTGCCACTACAATTATTTTTCTGTTTATGATATATACTCTTCTTACATGATCATGGCACCATTCAGCATTAGAATAAAAAATATGGTCATTCTAATATTTAATGTTCCTTCTGGTTGCTGCACTTCCTTTCTCTCAAAGGATGACCCAACAGGTCACTGGCTGCCCAGTAGTCCTTATAGAAAATTCCACATGCCTCTGTTATCATTTTTTATGTGTCCCAGCAGCCTCCACATTGCCTTTCCTTACATCCACTTCCCATATATTTGTATTAGGAGATTATCTTCTCATACTTTCTCATCAGAAGAGTCGTACTTTCTCTCCCTGAAGCTCTTCTATTTTCACTCTACTTTCATTCTTTCCTTTTCTTCCCTGTTTATTTTCCCCCATGATCTATCTTTGACTACTAAAGAAGTATTGCTCAAGTTATTTTGGCACATGAAGCAGAAAAACAGAGCAGTCCCTGAAAAGTAAGAACAAATGCAATTGTTACCAGTGTAATAACTCACAATTTGCTATCCATTTATGACACCAAATGTGATTTGCTGAGGCTTCTCACTCTACCTAGCAATAGGTCTGTTTCTCTCCATTTCAACTTAGAGAGGTCTGCTTACCCAGAGATTGCTTGTTCTTGGATAGGCTGACAGTCACCAATTCATATTCCTCCTCCTCCTTGTCACTGGGGCCATTTTGGAGCTGGTTCTCTGGGCTCTCATCTCCCATTTCTGCTTGCATTACCTTGCTAGTAGCTGAGGTTTCCTTGAAGAGCTGTGAGACCAGGGGCCTAGCTCTGTGTGGTCGATTAATAACAGAATAGAGGGTATCCCTGGCAGGCAAGATTTCCTCATATGGTCCCCATGCTACAGCATGTCTATGGCTTGATTTTGAAGAAGGAGGCCTCCCTCTGCCAGGTTGTCCATGCTCCAGGGATTGGACCTGAGAGGATACAGTGTGTAGGGAGCTCATTGAGGATTTTGTAGGTTTAGTTAGACTCCAAAGGGGTTCTTTGCTACTGGTCACTGAGGAAGAGACCCTGTTGGGAGTGTAGGCATCCACTGGCACATCAGCAAGAGGAATATAGTTTTGAGGTTGAGTCTGTCCATGTCTGGGAGAGAGCTGCAGCCTTTCCATGGCATCTTTCAGTATTTCCTTGTGTTCCTCCTCCCCATTTGCCCTGTTGGTCATCACTGGTTTCAGAAGAAAACTACCCCTGAAATCTGTAACCAGATTCACAAGATCAGATCATTATCATTTCCTTCCCCCCCCCCCCAGTATTATGAAAATTACAGAAGGGAACATATCCAGTATTTGCTGCTTGAAGTGAATGTTACTGTTGTGTAGGTCTTGGAGTGAAATTTTGGCCCCAGATATTGAACATATAAACATGTTGCTGTGTGTGTGTATTAGTTCCCACCTAATTAATCAAATTCAGATCACCCCCTTGTGACATATTTGGTAGGTAGTATTGCCAGCTTATACCAGATATGCCAATAGTATTTTGATTCAACACTATTTCTGTCAAATTAATTGTTCTTTGAATTATTTTTAAGTGGCAGAGTCACATTGTTCACATCTGCCATCTTACTTTTTATTTTATAAATCCAGTTATACAAAATATTCTCCTACATACATACAAATGCTGTGTCTGAGATGAAGCGTGCACATTTAAAGTTGTGCACAATCATTACATCTGTATAATTTTCTTCAAGTCTAGAATTTAAACTCTTGTGTTACAATTATAGCTAAACCGGCTTGAGAGACAGGAGGGTGGAAGGGAAGTTAACAGAAAAACTCACCAGGCACTGGAGTGATAAGATGTCTCTTTGGGGGTGTTTCATGTTGTGCTGGGCGGAGGGCAGGTGATCTCACTGTAGACACAGAGAAAAAAAAGAGTGGCTCACTCTCTTTCCCATATTATATACTCAAATTCTTTTTATAAAACTTCAACTTTAAAAAAGCCATATACCCTAAAGGAGATAATTCTGAAATCCAGCCTATCCACAATATAAATAAACCCAATATAAATAAAAATGATAAATGTAATTCTTACAGACTTCCTCGCCTGTTCTGCTCTTGAGTGCACCATAGGCTTCCATCTCCAGGGGCACCACCATACTGTCAAAGCGGCCAAGATCTGTAGGGGCAATCACATTTCTGAAAAAAAAAGGAGGAAAATCCTGGATCATTGATCTATAATGCAGATAGGTGTTTGCATCTATAATGCAGACATAATATAGATGAACATAACCATAATTTTAAGGAGCTCACATATAACATTATTCCACCATAGTTTCATAATTGTGATATATAACAATACATATTCCATTACCTACAGCAGCTAAGGGTCATGTTGCCTAAGATAATGTCTGCAGGCATCGTATAGGCATTATAGGAACTGTAGTCCAACACATTAGGAAAATAGATGCTTGGGGGAGACTGTTATAGGCATTGTAGTCCAACACATTGAGAAGATAGCTACTTGGGGAAGGCTATTAAATTGCTGAAAGAATCACAGCAATAGGTGCAGTGGTGGGATTCAGCCAGTTTGCAGAACCGGTGCCTAATTTTGGTGCCCAGGCCCAGAATGGACTTCCAGAAGCAGCATCCACACAGAGAACCGATTGTTCACATATCTGAATCCCACCACTGAATAGGTGTATCTTAAACATGTCCTATATACTCTTTTTTCATGTGTGTGTATGTGTTTATGTATGACATTATTCATAATATATGCCCTGTTTCTCCTCAGGAATTTCAAGGCTTTTTCTCATTTTACTCTCAGGACAACCATCCTGGTGAGTTATATTTAGCTGAGAAGAAAGGCCCCAATTACCTTTTGAGCTCTGTGGCTGGATGGGATCTCAAACCGGGGTCAGGATACCTGACCTTATTCTTACCTGATATCTCGGAGAAGCAACAACTTCTCAGGACGGTCAAGAATTGCCAGCAGGGGCCTCACCAGGTCTTCCACCCCTCCTTCTCGGATGTACTTTTGGAAGGAAAAACGATCAACATCAAATAAAGAATAGGTGCTTTTTTGGTTATTCTGGTATGGAAATTGTGTGAACTGCCTTCTCCCCCCCCCAACCATCCTTGTTATCCTATCACTTGTGTGATGGCCACCTGTGTCACTTAAGACTTATGCTTCCTATTCAATAGTTTGACTTCAGGAATTCAGGGAATATAAAATCCCCACAGGCATTTTAAGGGGAAAATATTAACTCTATTACTAGACACCAAACAGCATTAAATATAAAATTGCATAGTTGTCTTTTCCCTTCATTCTCTTTCATGTTTTATGAATTTTGAAAACTAGTGTCTCTCAATAACTTCCTACCAGCACTCTGGACATAAATTCCTACTGTGCCTTGGTTCAAAGCTCCCTCTAATGGCCGTTCTGCAGATGATGAGAAATGGGAGATGCTAGTAGTTTAAATAAAATTTCTCCAACCTGATCCCTGACCCCATGTATTTGCTTAAAGGCCAAATCAGGCTGGGAATTCTGGAATCTTCCCTGGAGGGAACAAGGTTGTGGAAAGCTAGTTTAACCTGGTGAAAATCAATACTGCCATTTGATTGACAGGCTTGCTAATCTGAAGAAAAACTAAAATTTTCAGAGAAAAATATTCTCTTGAATTATATACCTATTATATGGAATTTGACAATTGGACAACATAAATGGGTTCTCCATGCCTTAACTATGGCCTAAAGATTAATAACACAGCTTTGGAAAGATAAATGTGGCTCATTTATTCAAGGAATGGAAAAACTAATTGCACTTGACACCTATAAGTGGATTGCCTATCGACAGACTTTGTATAGGCAGGTATAATGAAATATGGAACTCATTTATACAACATATAGCACGTTAAAAATTGATAGTTGTATAAGTGTATTAGAAATAAGTATATGTACATTTGAATAATATTTATATTTTGTAATCATGTTAACTGTTAAAACAATATATTTTGTTTCTTTTTCACTTTTTAAAAAACACTTTTTATGTGTTGCCTTTTTTCTTGAGAATGCATGTATTCACACCATAATTGTCTCTGTGTTTCCCCCCCCTTTAGTATTTAATTTAAATAAAAAATATTTTTAAAAAAGTTTTGCTAATCTAAGGCATCCTGAACTAAGGCATCCCCACACTATGTAAGTATACTGTCTATGTGCATAGATGTATATTTATAAAACAGGGGGCTCTGGGTGAATTGTCTCAAATACGAGAAAGCAAGCCAACCAATACTGTTCTGCAAGAAACTATAGAAAATAGAACATTGAGTTAAAGCTTTACAGCAGTGGTAGTTCAGCACAATTAGAGGACAGTACTTGGAAGGCTGCTGGAAATCCCCGCATGATATTTAAATCAGAACCCCTTGGCATGCATGAGGGATGCTCCTTACTCGGGTGCAGTGTCGCAATACAGCTGCCACTTCATCTTCCATCAGCAGCTTCCTGGCCATGTCCTCAATGAGCAGCAGGTGGCTGTCACCACCACTGTGTTTGTTAGATGCCTTGGAGCTCAGAGACACAAAGGAGCATCCTTTTCCTGGAGAGGGTGACCAAAGAAGGTCAAGGAGTGTATATGTTTTATCAGCACTGAACAAAACATGTTGGCTCTGCTCAAACTTGGAAGCGCACAGCTGCAAGTCACACACATGCTCTTTCATGTCTGAATAAGCTGCCAGATTTCTGCATGCAATTTCCAATAACCCTCTCACACAAAATCCTCTAATGAAAGATTATCAGAGCCAGGATATGGATACAGATACCGGATGGAATGATGCCATTTCAGTTTTGCACGCCAGCATGAAAAAAAACAGGACACTAATGTACTGCCTATGCCCTTATGAAATTTTGTGAATGATTCAGGACAATTGTGAAGGTCAACTAAATGAGCTTGGGTTTTTAGATAGGTTAATCAGTCTTTTCCAGAATATCCTCAAGTAAGGGTTACTTATACTGATTCAGCTACCAGAGGAAAACCTATATTTGACTATTGTAGAAAAAAACAATGACAAGTTTTGTCATGGAAGATGAACAAATATGGCATGCAAACTAACGGAATTATAACAAGTGTGACCTTAGATCACCAAATTCTTATGTTGTAATAAATTGTTAATATATGCTTTGGTATAGAGATTAGTTTAATTTATACTCTGCCTTCCCTTAATAATGATTATGGAAAGACAAGGTCTAAAGAAAGTAAATAACAAATGTTGAATTTGCAATGAGCATTCTGTACTTCCAAGCACACATATGAACACTACACAAAGCACATGCTGCACTCCTGCTCATTTACCCCGTTTCAGAGTCCGGTTCACAAATTGCTGGATAATGTTAACTGCAGGTTAAGGGCAGTGGGAGAAAGACCGACAGCAAAGGGATTATGATTCTAATGAAGAAGAGTGGATGAGCAGAGACTGGCATAGAGCTACTATACTGTACTATTTATCATAGTACTTGCACATAGTACTTGCCATCCATGAAAGATACCTAGCCAAAAGTGTTTTCTGAATCCTTGGAGAAATCTGGTTGTCCAGATTTTTGCAGCTCAGATCCAATAGCCCCTGGAGGGCAGCTAACTCTGAGCTAGCTTCTGGATCAGAGTATTTCAACCTTGGCAATTTGAAGAGGCGTAGACTTCATCTCTCAGAATTGTCTCTCTTTAAGTTGCCAAGATTGAGAAATAGGGCTCAGGAGCAAAAGCAATATTTGCCTCTCATTTTGCATTCTTTTATGCAAATGATGCTTGTAAGTCTGATTTTTTTTTTAACTGCCACCAATTGCATCAGAAATCCAAGGAAAGCAGCATTACCATGCCAGGGTACAATTTGTCAGATATCTTTTCTCCTGTTTGCATGAGTTAAATGAAAAACATTTGAACAGGATTTTAGCACCTTTCTCCAGACATGACTGTTTGCATACCAAGGACCTACTGAACCAAAGTCTCCAATGTTTACTTTAGCCCTTTAGAAAATTGGAAAACTGAAAACTGAACCCTGACAATCCTCTGGCTTTTATACAGCCTATGATTTGAAAAACTCCCTACCCTTAGCAATTTGTTTAAAAAGCTGGCTTTTTATTACCTTTCTCCCCGTCAGGCTGTGCAGGTAATTTGGGCTGCTTCTGTGATTCCAGGGATCCAGTTGTTGAGCTTGGCCTCCCTACTCGGGTGCTCTTAAAGAACAGGTTCATCAGGGTTTTGGAGCGCTGGAGAGTGACTTTCTTCTCTGATGATACAAGCTTCCCTTTCTTTCTTTGATGCTTTTCCTCTGGGGGGGGGGGGAAATCCAGGAAGTCAAATCAGATGATCACAACTATAGGAATAACATGACATCTGAGCCTTGCCTCCAAAGCCCTCAGGGCATTATCGTTTCAACAAACTATTATAGCTACCATTTTCAAAGATTATCAGAAAAATGTGTGTGTGTGCGTGTGTGTGTGTGTGACAGAGAGAGAGAGAGAGAGAGAGAGAGAGAGAGAGAGAGAGAGAGAGAGAGAGAGAATAACAAATTAGTAATAGAGCTGAAAAAGTAATTGGCTGTTTATGTGGTGTTGCCCTTTGAGATAATCTATCCTTGTAAATAATCAAATAGAGGTAGACATAATGGCTTAGTGACACATACCACAGATGGTCAGATAGCTCTGTGATCGCTTAATGGGCAGACGGGGATGACTGAGCGCTAGTAGAAGAGCCATTTTGGGGGATGGCTCTGTGATTTCCTTGCTAACAAATGGCTGGTGCTTTCTTAGGTGGAAGGACTCCTTGAGGCTTTCTGTGCGAATGGCCGTGTCTTTTAGGATTTCCATGGGCTGCACAATCCTCTGGGTTTCTGAGATCAGGCTCCCTGAAAAGAAGGCCCCATCAGGCAATGGTTCCGTCTGCATGGCAGTCTCTGCCCTCTGTGACAAATGGCTCTGAACTGGCAACTCTGTGGAGATGCCAACATCAACCATGCAACTTTCTGCTGAGCTGGGAACTGGGGCCATAAATAGGCCATTCATGGAGCTTAAGGGGGTCCCTGAGGAATAGGATGACATGGACGAGCTGGATTCAGAGGTTTGGGACAGCTGCTGCAACTGGCCATTGGTCACTACAAAGAAAAAGAAAAAGTTGGCTGTTAGGAGGACTTCAATATACAACAAATACATAGCTGTTGCACATGGTGTACATATTTCATGCATTTCATTGGTTTGGTTTTCCCAGCACTCAATGTGCTATATTTATTTTGCATAAAGAAAAAAAACATTATTTTGCAAGATAATGCAAGTATTGCCATTACTACTGCTGCATTCAGTTGGCTATGTGGATGCCATTGATATCTACATGGTATTGTAGAATATTTTGATTTTAATATATATCATACATGTATTTATATATTTATCTATCTATCTATCTATCTATCTATCTATCTATCTATCTATCTATCTATCTATCTATCTATCTATCTATCTATCTATCTATCATCTCATCAGTTTGTATATTGCCTCAATCACAGAGACAGCTTTAGGTAGTTTATGTATTAGGATAAAAATCGTAACATAAGGATAAAAATAAACAGTGATACCCACTGGTATACTGATCCTTGATATTGCAAGGAAATATTTAGGTTAAAGAACCTACTGGGATGTGATAATTGGCCAACATAAATATCTCTCTGTGCAACACAGCACCTGTTCTTGGGTTCATGTAAGTACAAAGGTAGCAGAGCAAAAGAATGTTTTCTGAAATCCAATAACGAAAAAAATGCAGATTGATTTGCATCCCTTATTCTTCCTTAATAAAGCAACCACCTCTCCAGAAAAGATGTCTTACATCTGTTGAGCCAGCAGTATTCAGCCACCATTTCCTTGTATGCCGGGAATCTCCCTGTTTCCTAGAAGGGAGGGATAGAAGAGATGCAATGTGTCATGGGGTCATTTGCTGCCTGAGAAACAATGTGTGAAAGCTTAAGATACTAACCAAGTGGAGAAACACTGATAAATACTTGTCTCATGGTTAGTCCTTTTCTAGATGAAATTGGATCTGCTATGTTTGTCCCAGAGCAACTTAAGGAGGGATTCACTTGGCAAAAGAAATCCAAGGACACTTGGAGTGGAGAAAAGTATACTAGAAAGCTTAGCTGGCTGAGATGATTGGTCTGCACCAATCCAGAACTGATGAAGTTCTATCTCCTCCTAGCAATTATCATTTATTTAATAACAATGAGAATGGGATATAATTTGGATAATCTTAGCCCTTCTATGATTAATACCCCTTGCTATCACTTTTTTTTTTACTAATACTTAGGAAGACATCAGCCTCACCTTAATGGTCAACATGATGTGGGTCTGCCCCTTTAGCACTTCCACTGCCCTGCTATGGCTGATGTTATCAAACTTGATTCCATTGGCTGCAAGGACTTGGTCACCAACTTTGATCCCATGTTGCTCAGCCAGCCCGCCAGGATCCACTCTGGGAATGATACAACATCGAACAAGCACAAGGGGGGCATTTGAGAGAAAGATCAGGCTTTTCCTGAGCAAACAAGGTAGGAGCAGAAGAAAATGGCACATTTTAAGAATGGGAAAGAGAGCAACAATGTTGAAAAGAAATAAAATGTCTATGTTAAAAATGGGAAGGCAAGTTCCCCTAGGTCAGTTTCTTCCGGCTTTCTCATAGCATTCTACCAATCTTGATGTCAGTATTCAATAAATAAAACTGTTTTTCAGCCTAGTGTTTGCCAGATATATTGGACAATGACTGAAATCTTCCACTGTAAATAATTATGAATAATGTGAGTTATAATTCAGCATATCTGGTGAGCATATAGGTTGTGGAAGGCTACATAACAGCCTGCACATTTTTCCAACAATCAGTGTGGTAGACAATAAACATTCATTTCTGATAAATTTCCTAATATTCAATATTTTATTGTACAGATAATGACATGCTTTAAGTTAACAGAGAATATTTGGATAAATAAAATCCAAGCTTATACAGTGCTGAATATGATTAGATTCCCAAATTGTATCAGACCATGAGCTACGTGCTTATAGAAGTGTCTTCCCATCTCTGACCCTGAGGATGTGATTAGTATGCCAAAAAAACATACAGTTCCTCTTGGCTTCTGAAAAATCAACCATAAGTGAAACAGAAGAAATTGGGCTGAAAGAAGACCAAAGGATAACGCTTTATGGGGTTAGGGTGGCCCATGCTAATGCTATAGATTATATTATTATGGATTAAGTGATTAAACTGATAATCATAATGTCTATCTAACCTTTCTACCTTCCCCTAAAGGGTGATTTATATTCTAATTATAAGGGGGGGAAAGCCTTAGCCCAAATCTATAATTGCAATGGCAGTCATGATCAGGTTTTGAAAGTTTTGTTCCCTCTGAAATCCCAGTTTGGATCATCCCCCTGCATGCTTACTATCTGCAAAAACATAAAATCTCCTATTGAAACTAAACAGTGTTTGAAGTGGAGGTTATCAATTCAGCCACTAACAAACCAATGAAGATCTTGGGCACTGTTGTTTTGCAATAGGCAATTTATTTCCCTGAAAAGGAAACATCACAGCTAAAGTAAAATTTAAATCTAAATCAGGATCTGAAATACTCAACAGAGAAGGCTCTAGGACAGACATGTCAAACACAAGGCCCGGGGGCTGGATGCAACCCGTGAAGTGGTTTCATGTGGCCCGAGAAGCCATCCTGGAAACAGTGAGGGAACGGCCCCCGCTGCCTTGGCCCTGGCCAGACCAGCTGGGAGCCAATATACAATTTTGTGGTGGCCATCTATGCTGAAATGCATTCAGTCTTAGCTCCATAAGCCCGCCCCCCATGGCCTGAGATGAACAGTGAGGCTCCTCCAGTGGACCATGCCTTGATACTTGCCCTGGCCCCACCCCCTTCTGCCAGAGACCCTCAGATATCCCACTCCTGCCCAGGCCCCCACAGGCACCCTTGATGCGAACGATGTAGAGCTGGCCACACCCAACCAGTAGGCCACACCCACTCCATCCAAGCCCACTCACCCTGGCCACACCCACTCAGCCCCCTGAGGGCAACCGCAATGCTGATGCGGCCCTCAATGAAATTGAGTTTGACACCCCTGCTCTAGGAAGAGCAAGACTCACTTGGAGACATAGATGCCAAGGCCATACTCCTTCCCTCCACGGATATTGAAACCCAAGCAATAATCATCAGATGTGGTGTAGAGATGGATGATGCGTCGCCTTGCTATCTCAGAGCTGGTATCTGAGGGACTTGAGCCACTCCTCTCCACAATCAAGCGCCTGTTTACCACATCAACCCTGTGAGAGGTAAAGAATTAAGAAATAATTTCTCCTAAGCAGCTGAAGTCTTTGAAAAGGCCTGCAAACTGCCCTTTTACCACTTTGATAGATAACTCATTCCAGCTTCATGGGAGTGGATGCTATTTTCAATCAAGGCTGATCAAAATGCACGAGCATATCTGGCTGTGGCCCTCAAACTTATATAAACAGTCCCATTTCAGCATATGTGATTCCCTCCCTCCTTATTTATATAATCAACACCTCCCAACACATGGCAGAAAAAGGAGGCAGGGGGAGCAGGAGCTATTCCTGTACCTCTGTATGTGTAAAGCCAGAGCAGGAAGGGAATACCTATGATTTTATTTATTTGTATATACAGTATTTTTTAAACTTACATGGTGACACAACCTAATGACTTTGAAGATGTGACTAATCAACATATTGGCAGGGATCCAAATATGAGGTGGAGGGGGGCAAGCAGTAGGCAATGAAACAGAGCATGACTGCAGCCTCATTTTTACAAGGGGAAAGAAACATCCTCATAGCTTGCCAAGTTAACTGAAGTTAAGAAAACTTTCCCACAAGGTGAGCAGCAATAGGGCCAAATAAAATCAGCACTTGATGAAGGGATATTTAGCAATGGCTAGAGGGTAAAAGAAAAATAAGAACTTACAGGTAGGAAGAAAGGGTAGAGTGGAATTTGGATGAAAGGGAAAGAAACATAATTTTAAAGAAAAATAGAACACTTAAAATATCTTTATAGTATGAATAAATTAAAATATGTCTTACAGGTAGTCTTGGACTTACAACACTTCATTTAATGACCGTTCGAAGTTACAATGGCAATGAAAAAAGTGACTTGTGACCATTTTTCACACTTATGAACGTCACAGCCTCCCCAGGGTCACCTGATCAAATTTCAGATGCTTGGCAACTGACTCATATTTATGACGGTTGCAGTGTCCCGGAGTCATGTGATCACCTTTTGCAGCCTTCTGACTGGTACAGTCAATGGGGAAGCCAGATTCACTTGACAACCATGCTACTAACTCAACAACTGCAGTGATTCACTTAACAACTGTGGCAAAGTAGGTTGTAAAATTCACTTAACAAAATCTCGCTTAACAACAAAAATGTTGGACTCAGTTGTGGTCGTAAGTTGAGGACTACCTATATTTTGTAAATAAAATTATTTTGTTGAATGAAAACTTGTTCCACTAGGCCAGGGGTAGGCAAACTTGGCTCTTTTATGACTTATGGACTTCAACTCCCAGAATTCCTGAGTCAGCCGACTCAGGAATTTTGGGAGTTGAAGTCCACAACTCATAAAAGAGCCAAAGTTGCCTACCCCTGCACTAGGCTGACCTGTGTTTATTTTCTAATTGTTGCCATTACCAAATGACAGCAGGCTTTCTCCCACTTGGTGCCGTCCAAAGTATGGACTTCAATTCCCATTTCAATTCCCAGATTTCCTCAACCATATTGTAGAAATTAGTCACTTATCTGAACAGTATCCAGGCTGGGGAAGAATGTACTACAGATATGTCAAACTCGCGATTATTAGGACGTCACGCAACGTATCGGGACAGTTTTGCCATTGCCGGCAATGGGGTGGGTGCAGCTTCTGGATGACGCGTCTGGCCCATGGGCCAGCAGTTTGACACCCCTGTTGTACTAGTATATGAAGAGCAGTAGCCAGACAAGAGCATTTCTGCATTAGTGAACTGTAGTTAATTGTTGTGGCAAAATAAACCATCTCCTTATTAGTGATTTATTTCTACAGTGATGACTGAATAATAATAATAATAATAATAATAATAATAATAATAATAATAATAATAATAATAATATAAATTATTAATGCAGAAATGAATTATAAATTGCTCATCTGGAAATATTTTTTCTTCAATACAAATAAATATTTTCAGATATTCAAATTCAATACTATTTTGTGTTTTGAATTTAAAGTGTTTTGAATACTAATTTGATTTCTATTTTTTAAAAATTGTTTTTACATTACAAATGAATTCAAAGGTTTCTACTATATACATGTTGTTATTTTTGTCAGTTGCATGTTATCACAAACCATTCCCTTTTACCTATTAAATGAGCTTACATACTAGCTATTATTGCAAGACATTATTCAAATATGATCAGAGCAAAAATGTATCCCATTGTCAGAGCCAATTCTAAATACACAGTTGAGAAAGGAAAAGGCTAAAACACATTTCTGGATGAGCTGAACATTCCATGCCAGTTCTATGAAGTTTGTTGGTTTTATGGCATAGATATTAAGACTCTAAACTTCCTCTGAAGTCAGGAAGTTCAAAAACTACTGTAATACATCAATGTATATCAATTGTCTGTATTGCCCAATATTAAATAACACTGCATTTCAAATTACCTATCAAGCCCTATCAAATATTAACTGCCTGATATCTAGTACTGACATCACATCTTCATTTTGTACCATAATCTGATATTAAATGGTGCATTGTATTCAAGTTTTACATGTCACAGAGAATTTTCAGAGCTGATAATAGATGGAAATTATTTTAAATAAAATGTCATCAAGAAATTCATTCTGGCTTGGACTTCCCCTCTCCCAATATTCTCATCACAGGTGTTTTGTTTTGTTGTTTTTTACCCCAAGTTTACCAATTCCCAAGGCATGATCTGAGGATATCTGACACACCTGCCTTGCTGAAGCAAAGGAAGTTAGTATCCAAACAAGGGGATTACTTGGGCCCAGTTTGTATGCTGCGGTGAGTTCCAATGGACTCAATTTTTCAGCCAGATCTCAGGCAGCATGATTATCCTCTTTCATCAATTCCCTTTTTACCTTTTATTAAATTAGGTGGTTCTCCCCCATTCTACATATAATCTTCATATGCTACCTTCACATTATACAAATGAAGCCCCCTCTTAACCATAGTTTTAAAGTAATTCATTTTGGAAGAGGAAGTTTAGCCCAGTAATCTCACATCCTTTTGACCTTTCCCTGTCTGGTTCCCTATCACAGTTCACTTTAATAGCACTTCCTTGCATCTTAGGAAACCTGATCCCTTGGTCACGGCTCCTCTGAAGCCAGTATGTTTGTCTGAATTAGTACAATTGTGATTTTTGGGTTATCCATAGTTGACAACAATGGGTACAAATTGGCAATGGGTATAAGTTGGCAGTTCAACTTACCATGTAGTCTTTTCTTTGGAAAACTTTATCCCTGGCACTTTGCCCATACGTCTCACAACCATTCGCAGCCTGTTATTCCCTGTCAGGACCTTGATAGCACTTCCCATTGTAATATTCTCCAAGCTCACACTGTTCACCTCTGTGATTTTATCCCCAACACAAAGTCCAGCTTGTTCTGTTTATATTAAACAGAGAATGCTCAGCGTCATAGATTTTCTTTTTCTGGGCTTACTAAAATTAAAGAACTACTTAAACAACAAAGAGACAAACTACAGCAACTTATTAACATCAAAATAGATTAGAACTTTGAATTATTATCCATTCATATGCAGTATATTGCAGGACACATAGTATGTTACCCAAATATTAAGGTAAATATCAGTTTTGGGTTATCTCTTTTTTGTACTATATGGATAAATACAGTCAAGCTGTAGGTTTTTTCAAGGGTTTTGAAATACATAACTTTTTGTCTTCACATTATCAAAATGCTGATTGTTCATGATAGTCATAAGCAAGTATGTGAATCCTGACATATATTTCCCAGAACATCCGTAAAAACATTCTAAAATGTCAGATTTAGCAATAGGATATACAAAGAAAAATATCTGATGAGTGACCTTTCAGTGACATTATTTATCTTTTTGTTACAATAGCCAGACACATGCACTGGTGAAGAAGTGACAGCATTGAACCCAGAATATGTATTTATATTCATAATTTATAAGCAGATTGTTGCCCGTGCTTGAGTCTGGGAATGTTGAAGCATTTTTACTGACCTGCACTGCTGCCCTCTTCCACCTTACTGACAAAAATACCCAGGCCGTGTTCAGAGCCCCCACGCACACTGAAACCCAGCTTCCCCTCTTTGCTCTTCTCCACCGTAAAGGCATTGATAGCATCACTCTCATCACTGTTAGCTGTGAAGGGAATATAAGACAAAATAGTAAAGAAGGCATAGCTTCAAAAAAACAACAACCCCTCAATATACTGGCATGCCCAGGGGATGCTTAATCTTGCATCCAAAAGACATTTTTAATTCCATAGACAGAAAATCAGGAGAAATGTTTAGACATCTTTCTGAACTATGTGCAGATCAGCCTTCCCCCCCCCCAATGACCAATTTTAAGAATAATAATGAAATAGGCTGGAGCCAAAGGCCTCAGACTGTGTTATAAATTTCAGACAGGTTATTTAAAAAGCAAATAACCAAGACTCCATGGCTGCTGCATAAGATCAAACCCCGGAGCTCTCCTCATGGATACCATGGGTTTTGTTTTGAAGTAAGACACAAAAATTTGGTTTAAATCCTGAAATAGTTTTACAAATTACAAAAATATCTCATTCGATTTAGAAAAAAAAGAAAATCCTGCTTCTGTCCATTTATTTATACCCAACCTTTCTTATTTTTATAGATACTCCAGGAGGCGAACACATCCAACACTTCTACCTCCCCCCCCCAACAATAATGCTGGGAGTTAGGCTGAGAAAGAGTGACTGACCCAAAGTCACCCAGCTAGCTTTCATAGCTAAGGTGGGACTTGAACTCACAGTTTCCCACATTTTAGCCTATTGCTTTAATCACTAGACCAAACTGCCTCTCTATTTGTGCATATTTCTATGTCTATGTCTCTATATCTACATATAATTACATCTATCTGTATAGTTGTATCTATCTATCTATCTATCTATCTATCTATCTATCTATCTATCTATCTATCTATCTATCTATCTATCTATCTAATCTATCATCATCTGCCTGCCTATTCCATCATTTTCCCACTCATTGTGTTTCCCCAAACTGTAAAGTTGGTCCTGATCCATTCCTTGATTACAATCTAGGGAGATTTAGCAGTTGTCCCCTCATACATATATTTTTTCTTTTCTATTAGAACAAATTTTCCTTCCCAAAGGCCTTTTAGGTGTGTGGGATGATAATTCTTAGTGCATCTGTTGACCCTGTTAGCTTGGACTGGCAAAAGTCATAGCCCAACATATCTGGATGGGTGTAGATTTTTGTGGAAGTCCATATATTAAAATCCACAACAATATTTAGAAGATGGTCATGCTTCATTACTGGAATTAAATCTTTAAACCATATTTCTTTACTAATCCAGTGATCTGTGTACATAGAAAAGTAGAGCAGAGGTCTATGAATACACAAGTGCTACGTAATTGTGAATAAAGGTTATCTATGTTATGCAAATGCATAACTGGTAGAACTTTTCACTATTGTCCATTCAAAGGACACTAAACTTTGAAGACAAGCTGCTAATAAGATTTGGAAACTTGATTTTCATCTTTGGTGAATATTCATAAACTACATCAGAAATCAGAGCTATGAAATCAGAAATAAGATATGAGAAATGTCATCTGTGTACTGTCTCCCCTATTCAACCCAAAAGTACCTTCTAGTGGTGTGTTAATAAGAATAACTCTTCCCATAGGTGACGATGGATGGAAGTTTTGATTATTCCCATTCATAAGACGATTCTGCCTGCTCAGCAAAAGGAGGTTAGCTGTGCTGATGTCACTGCTGGAGTCCTGAGAATGAGCAGGAGGAAAAAACTTCCGGAAGGAATCAGAAACATGAGCCATGGCCAGATCAGACTTTGGTTGCTCCTGGAGAGACTTTCAAGCCATCTGATTCTACAGATATTTTGGAGAAGCTTTTGGGTGATGGAAGAGTCTGTTTTCCTCATGAAGGCGGACAGAGTTGGATTTTGGCCCCTTTGGTTGTTTTCTTCAGAGGAAAAAGTTGTTGGGCATATTCCAGTGCATCTTGCTATTGGGCATGTGAGTTCATTTTGCTAATGAAAATTGCATGAAAATACAAATACAAAAAATACAGAAAATGTTCTTATCTTTAAAATAGTGGATCTAGTGAAAACATCTTGCTTCTCAGTGGGTTTGATCTGTGATTTGCTCTCCCTTCCATACAGTTGTGCTATATTAACCACAAATATGTAAACATACATACATACATACATACATACATACATACATACATACATACATACACACACACAACATTTATATACTCTCTGCAGACATATTATTAGGAATTAACATGATGAATGGACAGTTTCAAAGTAGCAAAAGTATTATGCAGCAAGAAATGTATATGTAGAACAAAGAGCAGAGAGTTATGAATAAAGCTGATTCAGGAAAAAAATGGTTAAACTTAAAACTGAAAGGAAGATGAGGTCAGAGTCTTTCCTTTCCAAGATCACAGTCCGATGAAGAAGTTAAACAGAGAGCAACTTTACACAATCTGGTATTCTCCAAATGTGTTGGGTGGGAATTATCCAAGATTCCAAAAGTTGCAGCACATACACATCTGTCAGGTTGGGAAATGAAAGCCTAGTGTACCTGTTTATTTTATTACTGTAGCATTAGGTGTATAGCTTGGAAATTTCAAACAAATCTGGTGAGTTCCCATAGTTCCATATTCAACTGAGACCAGAACTGAATTCTAGACTGAAAGTATTTCATTTTTTCATGATTACATCAGAGCACCCTGACATTTCTACAGTAATTGACTGGGGTCAGTGCAAATTTAAATGTTTTAATGACAAGAAAAACAATTCTTTTAAAATTATTATTATTTTCTGGAAAATAATCAGAAACTAGAAATCAGGAATATATTTCAAAATCTTTTACTGAATTGCATAAGAATCTGTTGCTATGGTCCAGCTAAATGCTCGCTACCCTAGCATTTCAATTTGCAATATTCACAAAAATAAAAACAAGGCAGAGAAGACAAATAATTAGACAAGATTTATGAAGTTATAGAAATTAAAACTATATTTTTGTTTGCACCCTATTACTTTCTTATACTTAAACATATACCACTTTGTTCCCTGCTTAGTACAAATTAAATGAGCAGGAGTAACTAAAACAGGCATTTTTCACACATCTACTGGCAGGCACAGACCAATTACAAATCAGGAAGATGTGAAATGCGGGTAGAGACAAATGGATATTAAACAGTAAACAGTGAGACCCTCATCAAAATGAAATTACAGAACCTGCAGCACAGATATTCATTTAGATCAATATCTTATTTTGAAATTTCACTTTAAGCTTACACTGAAAGATTATTTCACAGTTGCACATCAAGCTGGATTTGAATTTAAAATTCATTCAGTACTTCTGTTTGACAACATGGGAAGTCTGTTGCAATCTCTGAAACATCTGGCATCCCATATTCATTAAGCCCCACATGCTTAGGACTTGAACATGTCACAGCAAAATATTTTGCTCTTAATATATACCATTTTAATTTTATTAATTACAAGCTCTATTGTACTCTCAATAATACGTGCCCTTTGTTTATAGGCAGCAGAATTGACAGCATTGTTATGTCTAAGAATCAGGAGAGTTCTCCCTTCTGCTACATAATCTCACACAGGAAAGAGAGAAGGGATTTTCCAGGCTCTTCAGCATGAATGATATACTAGGCCCATTCCCCTCCCCTCCCTCCACAACAGCCTCTTTGCTTGCACATTATCTGGAAACAGCTTGCTTGCTCAGTGACCTGACCCTAATAAATAAGTGATTTCATCCTTCCATTAGAGACACAGCACAAGGGTGGGGAACTTACAAAGAACTATGAGAGAAGATGAGATACGGAGCATGTTGCATCTAATACAAGGCCACTGGTAGATATTTTTCCAAGAATACTCTCTTCTGCTCCTTTTGCTTGAGAGGGGCAAGAATTTTCAGGACCTTGGACAGAACCTCTAAACCACTTGGATTAAATTATGCTCTACCTTGTTGAGGTAATCCTTTTTTTTTTTTTTTACTTGTCTTGTTAAAACTACAGTTCATCCTTACTTAGCACAAAAAAAAATGAAAATAGTTAAGAGACAGAAAGGGAAAGATAAACCCTTAAAATGTCTAATCTAACCCGTTAAAAATGCCTCACCTGTTTCCACGTTGCTCAGTAAACTTCCTTACCTGGGAAAAACACACACCGATACCTGCAGAGCTAGTGTTTGCAACAGGTACCTCCCACCATGTCAGATGGATTGGTTAATCCAACTAGGAACAAAGGCTCTCATAGGTTAGACTACCTGTCAATTATTCACAGTATTTCCTCACTGCATTAGTTGTAGGTAGAAAAAAACAGCTCAGTGGAGGAGTAAAATGTGGGACTGGGAGTTTAACAGAGAAAAATATGAGCACTTTAGATAATAACCCAAATAGCTGTAGAAATCAAAACCAATCATCAAAATCTTGTTTTTAAAGTTTTGAACTGATGCATATATTTTAATATAGAAAACAGTTTTTGCTTACTAATTGCTAGATTGTTTTTTAAGATACCATTAAATTTTACTGGAATTGCTACACGAGTCTTGAGCACTTTGATTATTTATGTATCATATTTATACTTTCATTAGCAAAAGGGTTAATTACAAAAGATTAAAATGTACTTATGTTTTAGCAAGTGACACATTGGTGTAACAAAGTCATTAAAACATATAAATTTATTAAAATAATTAACACCTTTTTGTTCCTTCTATATTAAGGTCCTTAAAGCATGTGCAGCTAAATGGGAAAGATGATTTTTATCAGATGGAACATAGGAGATGCAGAAATAAATTAGATTTTTCCCGGAATTTGTCTTGCAATTAAATGAGAAAGATGGAATTATCAGGTGAAACTTAACTGAGGATGGTAGAATAAGTACATTCAATTAAGAAGCCAACCGAATAGTCGTAAGTTCCACTTACTTCAGTTATCCCAATTTTCAGACTCAGCTGTGGGAGAACAGTCTGTTCCTAATACTTTGACAGCCAAATATTTATCAATCTGTCTCTTCTTTGACACTAGTCTGACTAAAGAGCAATAATAGAGAGGAAATCACTTTATAATTCAGAGCAAACTCTTCCTTAAATTCAGTGCCTTTAGAAATTCCTCATACTATTTACCCCATGATTTCTATCATTAGGAATACCTAGGGATATATTGAAATTTTACTTAGACTGCAGCTTTTGAGCAGAGATTCTGTAGTTGAACATCTTTATAACCCCTTGTACAGAAAAGGTGACCAGTCTGATATTAATTTCTTTCTAAGTATTTATTTGGAACCAATTTGAGTCTGGACTTCCCACTTGCGCATACAGAGACTTATGAAAACTGATTTCTGAATCATTTTGGGTCAATTGGTTTGGTTTTGGTTTCTCCAGAAAATATATCAAATAATCTATTTCCATAAATTATATGCCGATGGTGATGATGATAATATATACTGTTATATTTGTATACATGAGAGGAATTGTGATGTGTTTGATTTACAAGTAAATAATAGCTATTTTCCTTCATATATCCACTTTTAGTATCATCCTCATGAGGTAATTAGGCATTCATTATCCTCAGAGCTGGTATGCTCTCTCTCAGCAGGTGTTGCAGTAGACTTCAAAGAGACTGGCCACTGAATGCATGCAATAAAATATGCTCAATGGCAGGGAAATATTGACCACAATGGCCCAGAAAATAAAACCATAGAAAGACTGTTCAATCTGGCTCACAAAGTATGGGCATGTTCCATAGGTGTGTAGAATCCACACCTAGCCAAAGAAAAGGAGACAGGTTAGTAAAGCAAACTTTGAAGCTCTATGCATAGGCATTCATTAGGTCAAGGTCCATCGTATTTTAGGATACAAGTAGAAACCTTTTGAAGCTAATAGCTTCACCTCTTTTACATTGGACATGCAACATCACAAGGTATGTAGAAACAGGCCGGATTTGTATCATGACACTGCCATCCCACTTTTATTAGTCTACCCAACCCTGCTACTGCCCTAGCACATTTGATTATTGTTAAAAATGGAATCATTTCTGAGGACTTTTTCTTATGTTTATATTTGATAACATTTTGTTCTTTTTTCCTCTTACCTATTACTTTTTAATTTGACACATTTATTTTTTATTATTTTTGGAGGCGAATTTATTTTTGCATGGGGTTTATGCTATAGTTGTAATTGTGATTGGTTTTCAATGATTATGGATGGTTTCATATTTGTCTTACCTATGCTATGTAAGCAACTCAGAATAAATGGATTGTGGCAGGGTTAAAGTTTGTGGAGGGTGCATAGGGAATGGTCTGGCCCTTGAAGATCAGGAGGAAGAGCTGCTACCAAGGCAATGATCAGAGAAGCAAGGCTTGAGCCAGAGCCAAGAAAATAACTTGAGAAAATGTCTCAAAAAAGCCCCTTCCTAGTCCACAGAAAGGGAGGGAGAAGTGCTGGTCTGTCTTATTGGGGCCAACAGTTTGATATATTAAGTAAACTTATATAAAACAGATATGTTCAAAAAAGAAAATTGGTGGTGATGTATATTTGAATGCTGTTATATATTAATTCATGCACTTACACAATGTACACCTCATGATCATGGAAAGAATAGTTATTTTTCCCCAGACAGTATTTTTTTTAGAAGAGTCATCCTGAAAGGGTGATGGAAATATGTCTTTTGTTCTAAACTTTCCATTAATAAACAAGTTCTTTGATTTTCTCTTAATCCAAACTTCATAGTTGGAAATACCACAGTCAGACAACAATCTTCTACATGGGCTCTTTCATCTGTTGTTT